ATATTAAATGGTTGCATATATTCACGAAACTATTTTAGTAACTTTGCCTGTTTTGAAGAGAAATATATTTGCTTTGTTATTCAGTATTTCAGTATTTTGAAAACATTAAAAGAACACAGACTAACTGAAATACTGAAATATAGTAATACATACTTTAAAGTGAAAATTACAGTCGAAATGAAGATAATAAAGTTATCTGTTTATCTAAGAGAGAGAGGGAGAGAAGAGCATTTCATTTCATATCCTGAAAAGAATTTCGATACGTTCGTTTTTAATGTCTTTTCCTGGTCTTTCTTGACCGCCAAGAAACGACTACGCAAGTGACCATATTTTGAGAAGCGAATTTAAACAGTTATAAGAATTTTTTCTATCACCTTATGGCTTGTATGACCATATTTCACACTCAGTTTCGCGACTGAGTGTGAATTCTCAGTTTCGCAAAAATGTTCTTTTCCCTTTTGCTTCAAACTATCAGCTCTAATAAAGTTGAAATAAAATAGATACTGAATTATATTGGCCATTTATTTGTTTTTATTAAATTAAATTAAATAAATTTATATTAAATTAATTAATTAATAAATTATTTAATTTATTAATTAATAATAATGTACATTAATATTTATATATTAGTTTCCGAATTTAAAAAATATAGGTTTCTTCACCTCCGAAACTGGACCGGAAAAGCACAAAACTCATATCAGATAATAATAAATAATTTATGGTTTATAAAAGATGTTTGAGGTCAAACATAAAAAGAACGCAAAGCAATAATTTATAGAAATCTAATCAGATTACCATTTTTACTCTCATTTGAAGCACATACACCAACTGAAAACGATGAAAAAATCCTTGGAAGCTATGAAAAACATAATAATGCGAAACATCTTCTGTGAAACACAAATAAATTGCACTTGGCAATGATCAACAAATTCGCATTATCGTGTCTGAGGTAAACCATGTGTGGGAAAGAAATTTTCAGAAAATTTTAATAGGGCTAATATAATATACTATTTTATGTTTCAATTTTTAGTTGTTTTTGGGTTTGGTGAGAGTTGATACGTAGTAAGAAATGTAACAATTGAACCAAAGGAGCATACGAGATGTAAGTGAAGCAAAATGTTTTTGTAATTGGGGCTTTCCTTGAGCTTAATGCAATAGATGAACAGGTCATGCCAACCTACGACATGTCAGAAAAAGCGTAAGATGTGTAACAGAGTGATAAGCTTGACTGGTATAAGCTTGATAGTGATAACAGCTGCGTTATATCAATAAGGTCTACTTGGCATTTTTATTTATTTTGTGAGGCATTTGACTAAGAGTCGATGCTTTACGTCGCAGTTTATACTGTCAGGGATTTAAATATCGCCGCATCGTGCTGACAGAACCAAAGCTAGAGCCGCTACGATAACCTCACGGGTAGCCGCCCCAGGGAAATACACAGTCTTAGCTTTTACAGTATAATTATGCTATAGCACTGGTCACATCTTTTGCACTTCGCGAAAGGGGAGAATGAGAATTTTTCGGTGCAGTTATAATTATGGGGATAAATGATTTAAAAGAAACATATTGCAACACAGCATAATGTATTGTGTGTTCATTCTTTCAATTTTATTGTGTGTTCATTCTTGGAGAAAGTTCATAGTTTTTATTTTAAAGAAGCAAACATGTCTTGTGAAGCAATAATCGATAGAAATCTGCATGTAACTTTCTAAATTTTTTAAATCTATCATCCTAAGAGCTGCATTAGAAACAGATTTGATAGCTTATGTTATAAGGTATTTCTCCCGCCTTCTTAGCATGTCTTCGTAGTGTAGTGGTCAGCACGCTGGGCGCGTATTCCAGAGGCCCGTGGTTTGATTCTCGGTTCGTGGTTCGTTGCTCATTTTTCATCACTCCTGCGTTAAAAATAACCTAATGACTGTACGGTGGCGCTCGAACAAAAAGGGTGATGGATGATGATTCTCCATACGCAGGATTTGGCGATTGTGTCCCCTAAAAACACCAGTCGCCCTTTAAAAGAGGAAGTATGTAAGGTATTTCTTCCACCTTCGTAGCATGCCTTTGTAGCGTAGTGGTCAGCACGCTGGGCGCGTATTCCAGAGGTCCGTGGTTCGATGTTGAGATGGATGTTGCTCATTTTTCATAATTCCTTTTAAAAATAGCGTAATGACTCTACAATATATATGCAGGTATAATGCAGAACTTAATTTCCAATAGGAATTTCGTTTTTAAGTTTCCTTACGGAGGTAAAAAATAAAGCATGGATATAAAGTCTAGAATAGAGGCCCACATGTCTTTGCACTCTGTTCTACAAAATAGCTATGAAAAAGAGAAGAGATAATGATTACTTTTACATGAATGTTTCACTACATCAGAAAATACATTAAGAACTTTGCTTCTGACGAAATCGTTCTTCCAAGAGTAATAAATTGTCACATATTTCTTCTACTCTCTCGTATTGTCGCCGCATATATCGTGTCGGCAGAAAATCCATCAGCCAAGTTTCCAGCAGCAGCGTAACACTGTGGCAGGAGAAGTCACAACATTTGTCTCCGATCATTTGTCAATAATTGCAGGGTGAAGATACGAGGTACAGGAAGCAATGACGACTCATCACAATAGTTTTCCCGAAAATAAATTTGGGCTCATGTCTATGTTTGTAAATATTTTACCTGAATTGGTTTTAAAGACATTAAACAAGTTTTTGTATTTCGATGTTTCTACGAAATACAGAACATAGTGGTATTTGAATAGCGTGTAAAATAACTTGCATCATAAGCCTATGTGTAACAATATTGCTTGCTAAACTGACATCTCATATAGAAGCTAAACAAATAAATGACATGTTATTCTAATCTGTTACATTTTGCAATATGTTACCATTTGACAATATTCAGACTTCGCGAATCTAGTTTTTTTTTTAGAAAGGATAGAGCCACAAATACTTTACCTTCAAGAGCCTCTGCAGTTCTCAGATCGAGTTAAAGATCGATAATAAAGATTTTATGTTAATTAGACCAATTATATTATTATTTTGGCTTTTACTTTCTTCAGCTTCTACAAGCATTCACATTAGATGAGGTATAAATAATCGCAGACTTGTGTAATTTTTAGGGAGTGCTTGGCAGTATAGGCTGATCATCATGCTGCTTAGTTTTCGCTATGATAAATTTTAACTTATCAGCTTAAACTTCTGCTAACTATTATTGCTTCGTGAAACACTTAACGTCGAGCAAAAGTTTAGTAAGGCGTGTTTATTTTGTATTTCAAGTTCAATTTAATTTGAACGTGGGCTAAGATTACCCTAAATTAGCCCAAAAAAATCCGTTAAATTTCCGAATTTTTGTAATCATCACATAGATGTATTAATAAATAGCTTTTATTAGACTAAAGAGCAGCTATTAATCTAGAAATAAGATTTTGAGTTGTTTTAGTTTTCATTCGAGTCTACTGTTATTCGACAAAATAGTATAAGATATTTAGCCTTAAAATTTAATGCTTCTCTTATTGATTAACAAACTAGGCTATTTACAAATAGCAAATAGAGTTCACAAGAATATTGCCTTTTTACATTTTAGTCTGTTTGATTTGAATAAAATACATTTAATTCATGATATATCTAACTAAAATAATAAACGTTTTTACAGAATTACGTTACATGCTTTTCACTTGTCAAATATACAGAATATGACGTTTCGTTAAATCTATATATATATTCATCCAGTTTTCTATGAAATGTTTTGATATTCTACTTAGGGTATCTCTGTCTATAATCTCTACTCATGGAACATATCGAATTTAAAAGAGCCCTTTTAGGCGAATATTAAAAATCTGATTATTTCTCCTTTTTTTTCTTTTATTTATACTTTTTTAAATCCTTGCTTTGAGTTATGATACCTTTAGTTGAAAGGCAGATGATAAAATAAGTCGTCTGGCAGTCTCTAAGATTATTTTGAACTTATTTGGCAATTCAAAGTAATTAATAGTCGTATAACTTCACCTGTTAGAAAATTCTGAAACTGCTATCAAAATTAAAAATTTAAATTTTAGGGAGTTAAACACTTCACTTTTTATCTCTAATCAGGAGATATTAGGAACTGTTCCTGGTATACCAAAATACGAATATCAATATGCTGTTAAAGATTTAATAAGAAAAAATATATAATTTAAGAGAAAATTATTTTGATTTTTCTTTTTATTTTAATTTATTAAAATTTAAATATATTTTTTGCTTATATTTTTATTACTGTGATGTAGAAGTGCAGGTATCAAACATCAGAAACAGTACTTAATGCATTAGAATGATTCTGCTCTGAAGCAAGGATCATAGTAAGAGACAGTCCAGTCCGTGGCCATTGAATTATTCATCTGCGACTTTCGGTTTATCCAAGAAATTAAAATAAAATAAATAATGATTTTGAATGCATTAATAAAAGTTTGAGTTCCATCGATATACAAGTATATATCTAATGCTGGAAAGAAAAATGTCAAACTTTATTTGTATATTCGGTTGCATATGGTGAAAGTACAAGTATTGGTGACGTTGCTCAACAGTTTTCTTCGAGCTTTTGTGATACGGAATTTTATGCTTTCGAAGAAGTACTGGTGATTGTGACGTCATGAAATTGAGAATGAACAGGATATATTTAGAGTTGTTTACGAATACCTGAAAACTTGTGATTTGTATCTGTCGGTGATGTCTTATGTAATCACATAAGGAGTCCCTTCAAGGACTGAAAAAATAATGGCTTTACAAGACACGTACACAGAGAGATAAGTAAACATTGGAAAGACCTAATTACTTTCGTTTCTATTGCATTATATAGCAGCAAGTGTTGCATTTGAAAGTGATTAATATAAAAAATATTATAAAACTAGTAAAAAAAAAGAATCAGTTTCGAGAGATCTTATAGCTTAAATTAGCAATAAGTTTCGACTATCTTGGAAGATTTAGAGTTCGAATGTTCTGGGATTTTTTATTACAGAGAAGTTCGTTGGCTATGAGAAATGAAATATGCCACTTTTTGATAATCAAAGAACAAGATACCACCTTACTAACGGTTCCTTTACGGATACAAGATCCTTGTGTCCCACCAGTAAAGTAAGTCTGTTAGTCGTTAAACACTAGGGGTTGATTGATGTTCAATTTCAGGCGAACGAGCTGACTGCATGAGCGGTTTCGTGGTTTTCCCCGTATGTAATGTATATAGAAGCCAGTTTCCCTTAAAAGTCCTCCATGAAAGCATTCTTCCCCTTAAGCAGGTAGTACTCATGTGCATGTTCGGTACTACGGATCATTGTGAACAACATTTTTCAGCTATGAAAAGGAACTTGTAAACAGCTAGATCTAAGTTAAGATACATGCATCTGATCTCTGTTCAGAAAAGTGCTACTGCGAACCGTATGTCTCTAGGCATCTGACACTTGGTTGCAGAAAAAAAGACATCAAGTGCTGGGAAGGAAATAATAGGTATCCATCTATTACCTAGATTTCCTTTTGTTCTTTCTGTGTTTTAAATAATTACAATTTCAAATAAGATTTTATATATTTTTTCATTTTTTTACTACATCATTAAGAATTAAAACGACTCTTTTTTTCCATATGGCCAGCATTATTGTACATTGATAACTATTCGTACCGCTTAAAATAGAGCATTTGACAAGCCTGGTTTAGTTTAAAAGTCTTCAAACTGTTTTCCAGAAACCCAGTATTCCATGCCACTTCTCCAAGTGTTCTTACAGATACCAAAAATATCATAATCCATGTTAAATTCGAAAGGAGTTTTTAATGTAATGAAGCCAAGCTATACACCTAAAAAAATCAGTTAAATAATATTAAAATTTTTGTTACTATTACTACCCAAAGTAATATAACTTTTTATATCATAAAATAACAGTGAAATAATATTTTCCACGTAAAATACATGCAGTATTAATATATTTTCAATAATTTTTAATACCTACCTTTTTAAGATATTAGGAGTTAAAAAATGTCCCTTAAATCAACAATATTTATAGACCATTGGTCTAATACTACCAAAGAAGAAGAATAAAATTTATGCCAGTCTTTTTCTTTACTGGTTTCATTTCATAAAACGATTCATTCTCTAATATGTTACTTCCATACTCTTTAAGTGTGTAGTATCTTGTGTCATAATAATGAAGCTTCCTTATAGAAACTTAAGCTTTCCCCCCCTCTTCCGAATAACAATATATTTTGATTGAATGAGAGAATTACGAGCAAGAATGTTTCTCAAGTAAACTGCAGAAATTCATCATGCAGAAGCCTTTATCGAGGAAAAATATTGTGTGGAGTAATTATTAATATTGAATTTATCAAAATTGTGTGGAAACCAACTATGGAAGTCGTGAATTTTCTCTACCAAATTTTCAGAAAATACATTAGTCTTTTAAAAGGATTATACATTTTTGGCAGCATCTAAATGAATCCGAAAGTTGGTTAACCTGAAATTCAAAAATTCATTCTTCTTAAAAACAATCATGTACATGCAAATTAAGAATTATGGAACTAAGATCAAGAATAATTTCGAAATGCAATAGAATCTTGTTTAGTCGATATAAATTGAACTGATTATCCGATATAATCGATAACTTGGAATGCCTTATGAAACGGAACAGTTAAGCTTTGGTTGGACGTAAGAAATTGGCATTGGAGATTGTTGGTGACATTTTTTACATTATTGGAGACAAGTTTTTTTCCCTTTCAGTGCTGAAACAAGCGCCCATATTTCACTGATAACCACCTTTATAAATATTTTGCCAAAAGTTGCTGACCTTGCAGACCAAACTGAAGATTAACCCATGGAACTACAAAAGGTAGAGTATTAATTGAAACTCTGATTAAGTGGGAAAATTTATTACAGACTTACTGTAGTACAAAACAGACAAAGATAATTGCATATTGAAATGGGTGCGTATTTTTATCTTGTTGAGCTTACAGCGGTAAATTTATTTGCGATACACAGCGGATTGTGTAAAGTATAAATGGTAAAAAAAACAAAATTGTGGTCTGATGAATAATAAAAGAAATTATGGTAATGCAAATTGTCTCTGTTAAGTCTGTAGATATGTAAAGAAGTATATAAATGATATGTATTTTAGAAGATATGTAAGTTTTCATACTTTCTTTTTTTTATTTCATTATGCCATGTATTTACAATAGCTAATAATAAATGTTAACAGGCTAAATCTTTTATGAGCACGCCAAATAAAAACCACATACTGGGATGGATACAATTAAATAATGAATTTAGTACCTTATGAAAGCTTTAGTAACAATTTTGGGTTTTAGGAGATTTTTCGAAAGCTGCATCATAATGATTCCACACTTCGGTTGGAAACTGTGGTCTTATAGAACTTGTTTGGCTCCAAACTTAAATAACTAGATTCAAACATGAATTTCTATAGATACACATCAAAAGTATGCAAAAAAAAAGAGTAAAAAACAAAAATTAACTGTTGGCAGTTAAAGGAATAAACATGTCGTACAGGGGCAGTACTATAAAATATTATAGTATATGCAAAATTTTACTATAGTTTTCATTCTTTTATTGTTTATGTGAGCATTTGTCCAATAATTTTTTCAAATGATCGAATAATTTTTCTTTAAACAACTCAAGTAAATGTACGATGTTCAAAATTGATAAATGTAAGGATATTTCTACGTATTTTATTTATCAGTGGGCTTATTTCCATGTGAGCTTTTTTCTATGTGGGCATATTTCTGTGTGGGCTTATTTCCTGTGAGCATTTATATCTGTAAGCATTATCTTGTGAGCATTATTCTGCGAGCATTTTTCCTGTGGCCTTTTTTTCCTGTGGGGTTTTTCCTAGAACCGAAATTTACCGTACATTATGATTGTCTTGATATATTATACTCAGTTGTATATCTTATGCCGCTCACTATGATATGCGTCCATTAAACGCTTTTAGCCTGGAATATGAATATTCGTGAAACGTTGGAATGGTTGGCTGAACAATGCGACATTATTGAGGTTGTTCTGCAACTTTTTTTCCGATTATTTGTCTATGCAAGTTAGTGCTCAAGAGCTCGATTCTGTAGGTGTTGTTCCTAGTATTCTGTAGGTGTTGTTGTTAGGCCATTCAAAGATGAAATGTCTCACGTTACATTCCTGCAGTAGGAATATGAATTTGTGTCCGTAATCCCAAACATGAATAAGTGTGAAGAAAATGGCCATGTCCCTAAACGAGTTCAGTCAGAAACACACTGTTACTCTAAAGTCCGGTGCTGGTATTATGTGAGTGCTTGCAGATGTACTGGCATTATCTCAGCGTTCTTGCCATTTCACATGTAGGATCTGTAAAATAGATCTTTTAAAATATTAGACCAACAACTCAGATGAATGCTGATTGAGAGGGACGTTGTTTGTAGCTTCCTTTGGAAGTAAATCTGTTTTCTCACTGCTCTCATTCCCCGCTGGGCTAGAACGTAGCAAAATGGGTATATGCTCGATAGGGATGACCGATAGGCATGTGTTGATGATGAGTTATGGCAGCGTATAGCGGAGACTGCCTGTAGGCTGAATGCGAAGTCAGTATAAATGGTGCCTCTTGCTTTGCGGCAGTCGTTCTGTATATATGATAGTGGTATTCAGAGCCGTAATTTTTGTTTGGTAAACTGAATTTGGTGACAGCCAGAATATGCATCTTTAAAATCTTTAAAATTAATAATCTTTAAAATGACAGAAGTTCAATACTTCTGTGTTGGAGAGAGTTAAGGGATTTTGAGTGAAAAACTATATTCTTGTGGATGACATTGTGTAAGAAATCGTAGCTTTTCTTTCCATAACTAAGGCTAGTAGCGACAGATCAGTTAGGACTTGGGAAGCAGCTGTGGAGGTAGTATTATATGCCCTGCGTATATTCAGGAGGAGTGGATGTGGAATGGATAGAAGACTCCGTCTCATATATGAGGTGGCGCTGGATGCACAGATTAATGCTGAATTTAGAATAATGTTTTCCATAATAATCTGATATTAAGGTTTTAGAAGATATGATGAAATGCTTCAGTTGTTGGGTGCCGTTATTAGCATTTGGCAGATGACTGGCACACTACTTAATATTATGCCGAAGTAATTTAGTTGGGAGATACAGTTTATAAAAGGACCAATGAGCTAAGATTGGAGTTTAGACTAATTATTTTATAGAAGGTCTATCGTCAGAGTTTGAATTTGGTAGCTGAAATCTGCAACTTATTCTGCATGGCTCAGTTAATTACGATATTCAGTCCCATCTGTGCACTGCGTTCCAGGTAAACCCTGCCAACCACAACTAGGAGGAAGTCGTTTGTTTAAGCTACGAAACTTGTGTCTTTGGCTCTTTCATAAAATTGAAAGCTGTGGTCACTATAAGAGATCTTAATCTGAGTCCTAAGTATGATCCTTCTGGACATCTCTGTGTGATAATGTTGGTTATTATAAAGTCTCTAACGTGACGTGGATTATATTTCCTGAAAATACTGTTGAATTAAATCAGTGATCGTGACAGGACATACTACTATCACAATATACCGAGTTAAACACTCTGTATGTGAAGAAAAATAAATGCCGAACTCATCTCTCTCTCTGTTGGCTGTTAAGGTGCTCAAAAGTTCTTTAAGAGTATCCGTCGAGTGTCCAACATGTCTCAACAAGTCCATCGAGTCTCAACAAGAAAAGAGCCAGATGCATCCCTCTACTCAAGTACAGATGTTAACTGATCTTGAGTGGATATCTCTCTCTAAGATCTTATCTAGGGCAGGGAGGACACAGACTGGTTGATAGAAAGTTTGCAGGAAGTTACCATCATTTTACAGATATAAAGCCATTTCTGCAGTCTTTGCGACTTGAAGAAAGTGCCTTGTTTCCCAGCATGCCTTGAGGAAGGCAGGTAGTAAGTCTCGGAAAACTTGATGCGTTATCTGTATGATTACATCATCGATCCTGTCTGACCATGTGACCCTTTACATCGCCAAGGCTTGCATGAGGCGTTTTACATCAGGTGGTAGTTCTGCGTTAGCTTTGTTGTCCCAATCATGTTGTACAAACGTTCTTCTGTGCCTTCTTCGCTGATTGTATATTC